CTGTTTTGAATAGAGGCAAGCCTGTTTTTGGGAAGTGTGAGTCAGATTTTTTTTCCCCCTCTGACATTTGTAAATGCGAGCAATCATGAAAACCACATTTACGTAGTGAAGAGGTTGAAATGTTCAGCGGCTAGTGCCTGGAAGGCATTTCAAGGATGGGGACGTTGTTTCCTTGTATTTCTGGCCTCCGGGTACCTAAAGTAATAATCCCCACCTCAGAGATGTGGAAAATTTGGGGTTTGGATCCCATGGCCAAGAAAATTCTTGAGATGTCTTTGGTGCAAAAAGGTGGTTTTATTAAAGCACAGGGACCATAGGCAGAGAGGGCTGCACTGGGGTTATGACAGGTGACTAATTATGTACCTTCAAGTTGGGAGGCGGTTAGGGATAGTGTAAGTCTAAGGAATTTTGGAAGCAAGGTTTCCAGGATCCTGAGGGGACTATCTATTGTTAAGAAAAGGTCATTTATTACTGTCTGGTAAAAACTCAGTCACAAGACCCTTCAGATGTATATCAATGGGCCAGATGCTTAGAAGATGATTGCCAACATATATCTTGGGATGGGTGGGGAGGGGGTAGAGATAAAAGAAGTTTCCACAGGAATTTTTATATGTTAAAATAGACTTACAGGATCCTGGAGGGTTGGGTTAAGATTGCCTTTTGTCCTTAGTGAAGAGTCATCATCCAGGCAGCTAAATTCCTAGAGGAAATGTCACTCTCTGTGTTTCAAGGACTTGTGAATGGGCTATAGGCAGTATGGAAATTTATTTTCTTGTGCCTTTGTTTCCCACATCATTTCCCCCAGAGTAATTTTGACCCTTAAATCTTTACGGCTGCTGAGGGTGGAAGGTCTCATCTTCTGTAACATCTTCCTACTGAATGAGGGGCATAGAGATGTCCCTACCTATGGGTCAACATTGATCAGTTGGGGACTTATATATAGGACAGCTGAGTCCAAGGGAGATCTCATGTATGGATCTTCCTGAGTGCAAAGGATCATCTGTCAGCTTGAAGTTATGGCGGTGAAGGAATCTAGGCACCAAATAGAGAGACATGGGAGAAAACAACAAAACACGATTAGAATAACAAAACGAAAATGAAGCTCAAATAAGAGTCCTTTGGTAGTTGACAAAAATCCTCTTCCAGTCCAGGAGTTTGACCAATCATTAAAGGAAAGGGAGGGATCTTTTAGAGCAGCAGTGTGAGTATTTATATCAGTTAGAAACCCAGAAACATTTTTATGGTGACCTGGAACGTGTACACGGCATTCTGTACTTAATGATAGCACATGTTACACCTTGTGCAGCAGGTAAAATGTCTAATGCCATTTTATTTTTAAAATTGCTTTACGCATTTGTATTCCTTCAGTGTTTAATAGGGAAATGCTATTTCGAGTGTCATTTAGGGCTTTGACTGTGTATTTATAGAGCTTCCATGTGCCAAGCAACATCCTCCAGTCCCAGGAGGGAACAAAGATGGATGCTAGGTGATCATACCGATAAGACACAGAACCTGTCCATCATTGCTTTAAATTTGGAAGTTTGGCTGGGTTGGTAATGGTTTTAATAATGCATCCATGTATCCAGGCAAAACCCAAAGTACAGTGGCCTATCCAGCCTGGGCTAAGCCATGGACACAGGTTAGACCCACATAGCCATCCAGTCCCCTCAGGAGCCGTCATCTAATTCCGGGCCTCCTTGAACTTCAGTCAGGATATCAAGGGCCATTTGGTTTTGGAGGGTTACCTTTCCAGAGCACTGTGGACACCAGACTAAATGTAAATAGTAATTAATTTCTTTAAGGTCCAAGCTATTTCCTGAATTATTTGTGCAATAAAAGACAGTCCGTTGTCACTTTGTGGGGATGAAGGCAGTCCAAATCTAGGGATAATTTCTTTTAGCAAGGATTTTGTCACCTCAGTAGCCTTTTTACTCAAGTAGCCTTGTGCAAACCCTACATTACCTTCCATTGATTATTTGGAGTGAGGGGGGGATAATAAATATTTTCCTCTCATTATTAACAAGCCAGTCCTGTGCATATTTTGAATATCCTTGTTACTGGGCTATGTGAATTTCTTGGCCTGAATAGACTGGAGTTATAGACTTTATCAGAGTTAGACTAGTGTAAGACTTCGTATTTGTTTATTTTGTGCCGCCTGCTTGGCTGCACAGCCTGCTAAATTGTTTCCTTTAGATCCTAAGGTCATATCTTTTTACTGTCCTTTGAAGTGAATTACAGCTACTTCCTTGGATAGGTGTACAGTCTCAAGAAGAGTAATCATTTAGGGCCCATATTTGATTGGGGAGTTATTATGGGCTTGATTGTAATCCCCTTTCCTTCCAAATTGTTCCGTGGGGTGTAGAATTAGGAACTCATATTTAGAGTCAGTATACATCTTAATTTTGAGACCCTTTGCCAGTTGTAAAGCATGAGTGACTCTGCTTCTTAGGCAGATGTATTTGCTGGGAGGGCTTTGGCCTCAGTAGTCTGAGTCAGACTGACTGTAGCCTACTGAGCTTTTCTTATCCCCCTTTCCATGAAACTAGTGCTATCAATAAGCCAACTGTCATCAGCATTTTCAATAAGGGGAGTCTTAAATCTGATTGGCTAGACTAAATGAGATCAATAATCTCTGAGCAGTCATGTTGTAACACAGATGTACGATAGTCAGGCCCAGACATAGGGGTAGCTGGATTTAAAATTGGACAGCTGTTAAGTATTTAAGGTATATTTAAGAGCATAACCTGGTATTTAATAAGTCAGCCTCCCATCACCCACTGGGCCTTTGGTCTCTAAGACACTCTGGACCTGATGTGGAGTCATTTCTGTCAGAGACTACCCCATAGCAAGTTTTGAGGTTTCTTTACCAGGAGGGCTGTTGTGTGCTTGTATAAAGCCTTTATTTCGAATTGTACATCAATAGAGGTGGTTCCTGGGACAAATAGGACTAAGGAATAAAACCATCAAAAAACCCTCTTTGTTTGAGGTCTAGCCTTACTAATATCCTAATTATGAGGAATCATTGGCAAGTGGGAGAAGACTTGTCTCAGGAGATAAGGGCATTCCTAAGTGCATTATCCAATCCACAAGTCCATAGTTAACCCTGGACTGGGGTACACTCTGGCTTTTAAAGAGCAACTTTGTCATTCTAGCCACAAAGAATTGATCAAGGTGATAGTTGAGTTATGAAGTTGTTGGGGAATCCATCCCATTTTCCAACTGTTCAAATAATCATATGTCCATGGGGTCCTGTTGTCCCCATAGAATAATGAGCAACTATCATCCAGTATGTCAGGAGGACTTTGAGGCCTTGGACCCTTAAGGTTCTCATAATTAAGTTTTTTTTTTTCCTCTTGTGATTTTGTCTTATGTCAGTTTAACTATTATAACAACCAAAGAATTGAGAATGGAAGAAGAAGAAAGTTTTCCTCTCCTACATATTCATTCTGTTATTGAAAACTGACATCAGTACTCCAGAGCCAATATAACCAGAAGTCAGAGACTGGGAAAAGGAGGAAAAATAGCTTTATTGTTTTGCCAGGCAAAGGTGGCTGCAGCAGGTTAGGGCCTTCAGAACTGTAAGCCCACCCAGAGGAAGGGGCTGGAGGGTGTTGTAGGGAAATGTGGGACCTATCTGGGTTAGACAGGAATTATCTTTGCTGCCAGCCTTGTTCATCATATTTTCAGTGCAGTACCGGTTCTGTAAAGGCAAAAAAAAAAAAAAAAAAAAAAAAAAAAAAAAAAGCTAAGAAGGAAAGACTGAAAGTTTCCCAAAGGAGAAAAAAAAAGTTAGTTTAATGTCAACACTCATTGATGTTTTGATGTAGCCATTTTGATTTTTGTTCAACTTTATGTTTTTTAAGTGGTTTCAGTTTGAGTCATCAGGACAACTGTAGTAAGACCACTTCATATTTTACGGTGAAAAACCACTCGATATTTTCTAGAATGGCTAAAATAAAGAAAAAGGGTAACACCAAATTTCCATTTAAATGTTGAGGAGTTACAATTCTCATATATTGCTGATGGAAGTGTAAAAAATACATTCACTTCAGAAAACTGTGTGTGGCAGTTACTTATGAAAATAAACATTTTCCTACTGAAGAGGGGCATTTTCTCACCCCAAAATGTATCTTTGTCCTAAGAATTATTATAGGTTGTTATTTTAAAGAAACAACAAAGGAAAACCTTTAAACCCAGTACAAGTTTCCTTTTGAAGAGACATTTGCATGTCTGATACATGTGCATATATCAGGGAAAGTCCCATTTGTAAGGGTGTCTCCCTCCATGAAGCCAAAGGAGAGAGAATGTGTAATTCTCCAGAAACTCTGATCAGTGAAGAAGGAATGGATTTAAATGTGGATAACAATCATAGCCTTGGTTAATGGTTTTTTTGTTTTGTTTTGTTTTTTGTTTTTTGTTTGTTTTTTTTTTGCTTGGTCACCTCCCCAAATGCTTCAACATAGATCACACTTGGAGTTTCAAACAGTCATATCTGGTGCCTTCCCCCTCAGATTCCATCAGTTGGTGTGAGTGGGAACAACAGTGTTGTTTTAAGTGCTCCAGGTGATTCTAAGTGAGGCCAGGGTTAAGCACGAAGGCTTCCCATTAATTTAAGAGAGTGGAGTGCAGGGTTTGGCTCAAGGGTTTGGATCTAGAGGTAACTAGATCTCCCCTACAGGAGCCTGTGTGGGTCAGGCCCATGCAGCACATTGTTCCTATGCTGTAGCAGAATGGGTAGGAGGAGAAGCCCCTGAAAGAAGAGAAGGAAGAGTCAGTCACTGATTGGTCTGCAAGTAGGAGCTCATAGTTTCCAAATATCAGGATGCAAAAGACTAGGAAGTTTCGCCTTTTTTGCATTACAATGTCCTGCCTGCAGGTGAGCAGTTTACTTTTGAAGAGGCTCTTCCAGTGGGTATAAAGGCATTTTCCCCTGATGCAGCAGTGATTTCTCCACAAATATCTTCTGAGAAAGAAATCTAGAGAACGAGGTGAAAGAAGAAATGGCCAATCCTCAGGTAAGCCTGGTATCCCAGGTCAGAGTCTGTATTGTCTTTTTCTCTTGAAATTCCATGCATTTAGAAATTGGAAATGGGGGCGCCTGGGTGGCGCAGTCGGTTAAGCGTCCGACTTCAGCCAGGTCACGATCTCGCGGTCCGTGAGTTCGAGCCCCGCGTCGGGCTCTGGGCTGATGGCTCAGAGCCTGGAGCCTGTTTCCGATTCTGTGTCTCCCTCTCTCTCTGCCCCTCCCCCGTTCATGCTCTGTCTCTCTCTGTCCCAAAAATAAATAAATGTTGAAAAAAAAATTTAAAAAGAAATTGGAAATGTTGATTCCTCTACTTCTGATGTTTCTGCCTCATTTTTTCACCTAATTTTAAAACCTTTTCAGAAATGATATTCAAGGTTATATCTTTAGAACACTGTTGCAGACTTTGAGTCTGGAGTTCTCTCTTGTCCAGCAAGAGAACAGATGCAGAATTGAATATGAGAGGCTAATGTCCAGGAGGGGACAAGAGCCCTGAACACGGGTTTTGTCTCCGTATTTATTGAGCTCTCAAGAATTTACATATGTGATGAATGTGCAGAAGAAAACAATAAGATAGTGACCTTTAACTTGTGGGTGTAAGAAGCAAAAGGTTTGGGGAGCAAGTGGCATTAGAAGTTGAGATTAAAGCACAATGATATATATTGGCACCAGACAACAGATGGACAATACAGCCTTTGTGGGCTGTACAGCCAAGTAGCTGTTATCTCCAAAGTTTAAGATTTCTGGAGCATGCTGCCTCGAGGCTAACAAGGCACCCTTTTCACTAGCTAACCTTGGGTGCTTTCGCTCATTGGCAGCTTTCTGCCTCTATGCTTTGTCTTACTTAATGACTGGCCTTGGGCGCTTTCACCCTGTGGTGGCTTTATGCCCTAAGCCTTGTTAACCCATTGGTGCAAGCCAACAGACTTCTTTTTTTTTTTTTAATTTCTTTTTAATGTTTATTTATTTTTGAGACAGAGAGAGACAGAGCGTGAGCAGGGGAGGGGCAGAGAGAGAGGGAGACACAGAATCTGAAGCAGGCTCCAGGCTCTGAGCTGTCAGCACAGAGCCCTACGCGGGGCTCGAACTCACGAACTGTGAGATCATGACCTGAGCTGAAGTCGGACGCTTAACCGACTGAGCCACCCAGGCGCCCCACCAACAGACTTGTTAAACTTACTTCCCACCGAACACTCCTCCCCTATTTCCCAGAGACTATTCCTTATTCTCCAACCTGGCTTCCAATAGGGAACCAACAATTGTCGCTTTGATGTAAAGTCCTGCATGTATTGAAAATATTCCCCTTGTGACAGATTCACAGGGGAAGGTGTTGAGTCCAAGATTCCTATTGCTGATCGGCTCTGTTCTTGGCATTTCAATCAATTTCTTACATAGGTTCCATCTGGATGCGTTATCAGCTCTGTGTAGACCAGGATTAATACAATGCACAAATGCACAGGATGGATATGAGGCCCAAATAACTCAGAAAGTTCTTGAAAAAAATGGGAGGCTTCCTCCTTAGAATGTGAAGAAGATACTGTTTAAAATATACTGGATATTACAGAACGTGGAAAGTATATGTGATTGAACTTTGTATAAATGCACTGTATTTTCATAATTGGATTTTAATTCTGATTCACTCTTTTGTGGCCACAACAACACACCGCTAATAATAGGTCCTTTGGCATGCCTTAGGCACTGATATCATTTTTCTCATTAAAGCTGATGCTACCTTCTATTATTTGGCTTGGTGTCTTTGCCGGATTTCTCCCTTACAAAGTTCATATTTGTCCTCTCATCGTTCATAAGGATCTTAGGTGGGTTTATGGAATGATGTTCAGAAACCATCACAATTAAACTGGAAACTTTTTTCTGAGCTTCCCTTGCTTGCAGTTTTTGATGAGGAAAACAAAGACAAAAGAAGTGTAGATAAAATTAAATTTCCTTGAACTTGCAGTGCATTTGTAAATACCTGGGATAGGTAGAGTATGACATTGTTCAAGGAATGCCCAACAGCCTTAATTTAATGCTTTGTTAGATGCAAAAAAGGACTTTAGCTTGACCAGAGCCAGACTTGCAGGACTCTATTGGTCTTCTTTAACATATGAAAATCTCTTTAGAAACTTTCTTATCTCTACTCCCCAACTTAAAAGTATGAAATCAATGGCTTCTCCAAATGACAGTGTACGTTGCTCTGCCTATGGGTCATTACCCATGCTTTATTAAAAACAACTTTTTACACCAAAGTCACCTCAAAGATACTTTCTTGACCCTGAATTCCAGTCCCACATCACATCAGTTTTCACTGGACAATGAAGGGCTCACCTTTCTGTTGTAAGGACATTGACTTGTGGGAGTGGAGATTCTAAATCAGACTTCCACCCTCTATGTTTTTTTTTTTTTT